CCGGCAGAAGCGATCGGAGAGGAACTACATCAAGAAGATCAAGGTTTGGAACTTGAACTGAAGCTAGAGTTTGTGGGTTTGCACTTATATGTTGATGGTTTGTGTCTTTGTTTACATATAGTATGCATGTCGGAAGACTCTAGCAGACAGTCGCCCAAGGATTCGTGGGAGATTCGCAAAGAACCAGGACGCTGGGCTTCCGCAGATGAAGAGGAAGCTCGACGACGATGACGACGACGAAGTATTAATCGAAAAATTAATCTCTCTTGGTTTCGTCTGAAGTTTCTTTCGTTTGGTTGTTTTGCAGTGTGATATACTAATGGGAGATGAGGAGGATTACTTTCTGGAGAAAGATGTTGGCTCAAGTAAGATTTGTGTTCTTCTTAAACTTATAGCAGCTCAGTTTTGGCAGATAAATTTTCTGTAGAGGAGCTTGAGGCATAAAAACTGAAAACCGGGGTGGAGGGGAATAATATAAGATAGGATTCATTCTTTTGTATAAAAAATCTGAAATAATTGTTTTATAGTGAACAGAGCTTGTAGTAAAAAGTTGATAATGGAACTCAAATCACAATAAAATTCAGAGTATAAATATGCAATATAATGTAGCCCTAAGATTGGGACGCAATCGCGGCCGTCCATCTTAAAACCCTAAACTGAAGGAGACTTTAGGGTTCTAGAGCCGCCTCGCTCTTCTTCACTTCACCGCCGCGCCGCCAGGTACGCTCGCCTCCCTCCGCCATGACGGACTCTCTCGTCTCCAAGGGCCGCATGGAAGGCCACACGGACTGGGTGACCGCCATCGCCACGCCCGTGGACAACAGCGACATCATCCTCTCGGCGTCGCGCGACAAGTCGGTCCTTCTGTGGAACACGCAGCACAAGGATCTCACTGAGCAGGACTTCGGCTTGCCGCAGCGCCGCCTCACGGGCCACGCCCACTTCGTCCAGGACGTGGTCATCTCCTCGGACAGCCAGTTCGCTCTCTCGGGCTCCTGGGACGGCACCCTCCGCCTCTGGGACCTGGCCAACGGCAACACCACCCGGCGCTTCGTCGGCCACACCAAGGACGTCCTCTCGGTGGCTTTCTCCGCGGATAACCGCCAGATCGTCTCGGGCTCGCGCGACAAGTCGATCAAGCTCTGGAACACGCTCGGTGAGTGCAAGTATACGATCCAGGACCAGGACTCTCATACCGGATGGGTGAGCTGCGTCCGCTTCTCGCCGGTGACTACGAATCCCATCATCGTCTCCGGCGGCTGGGACAAGATGGTGAAGGTGTGGAACCTGACGAACTGCAAGCTCCGGACCAACTTAGCCGGCCACTCCGGCTACGTGAACTCGGTCACGGTCTCGCCGGATGGGTCTCTCTGCGCTAGCGGTGGCAAGGACGGTGTTGCCATGCTGTGGGACTTGGCGGAGGGGAAGCGGCTCTACTCGCTGGACGCTGGGGATATCATCCATAGCCTGTGCTTCAGCCCCAACAGGTACTGGCTCTGCGCTGCGACCCAGCAGTGCGTGAAGATCTGGGATCTGGAGAGCAAGAACATTGTCGAGGAGATCAAGCCCGAGCAGGTGTCCAAGAAAGAGGTACGTACCAGTCATCAAAATTGGATTTTTGGTTCTTTTTCGTATGTGTTCTAAGCGATTGTCGTGTTTGTGGTCTCTGCTGCAGCCGACTTACTGCACCACTCTGAACTGGAGTATGGATGGATCCAAGTTATTTGCTGGTTACACGGACGGTGTCATTCGCGTGCACAGCGTCGGGCACTAGAAGCAAAACGTCGCCGCCAACTGCTGATGTAGGCTACGTAATTTTCTTGGAGTACCTATAACGGAGAGGCTTTGTACTCGTTCGTCTTTTGAATCAAAAAGCTTTTTTTTCCAAATAAAATGCCACTTACTTTAGCTTTGAAAGAGCTGAGATTTTCGAGCCTTCCCTTCGAAGAACTCTGCCAGCAATTTCTCCAAGTCTTCGGGTGTGTACTTGATGTACTTGTGAGGGTTTTTTCCTCCTTCCAGCGCAGGGCTGTTTGAAAATTGTTCGTTTGAAGCTAGCAGTTTTTAAAACAGCACTTGCTCACCCATAGCGCTTCAAGAAGTTGCGATAGGCTGGGAGTAAAACCTCTGCCACGGCAAGTCGAACAGCTTCACGGAGCTCAGCGTCTGGGATGCTCCATTGTGATTGTTTCTGATGCATATCTTCAAAGAGTTGATTGAAAGTTTTAAACCTGGGAAAAAAGAAAAACAAAAACATAAGTTTTGTGAAAACGTTGCCTTACCTTTCTTTCAAGATTGATCGAGAAACTCCACTGCCAGCTTCCGCACTAGAGGCTGGAGCTCCCAGAGACGATGAAGAGAGTCCCTGGGCAGTGAGGCATTGAAGGGCCTGTAGATGTTGCTTGCTTAGGGAGTTATAGAGCATGTTTTATAAATTGATACAGACCTTCACCCAAGAGGTACGCTGATATGCCGACGCATGTTGCTGGACAATTCTGCGATGAATTTGAATCCACTCATCTCCCAGCAAATCTTTTGCTTCTGACCTGTGGAAATATCTTACTCTATTGTCAATTTTAAAACTGGCTGCTTACTTCTTAACCGAGCGAACAATGTAGTGGATGTTGTTCATAAGGAAAATGGACAAGAGCGCGGGGTCCTTGTAATGTTTCGCTTTCACATCGAGATTAGTTTGCAAGGCCGCCATGATCTTAAGTGTGTTCTGTCCAATGTGAGACTCTTTCTTGTCCAAATCATTGCTTTCCTTGTAGAGCTGCCTGATAGTCTTCTGGTAACTAGGAACCATCCAAACTATTAAAAAAGGATTGAAAATACTTGAACTTACTCAAAGAGGAACTTCACGTAGTTGATAACATAGCTAGTAAGAGGATGCACTGTGCCATCTTGTACTGGTGTCTTCGTCGCATCCTTCTCCACAGCTTCGAGGAATTCATCGAACGTTTCTTGAGCAGCCAGAGATAGCTTGCTCGTCAACAGAGCTGCAGACTCTCGTAATGGGGCCGTTGCCTCTCCAGAAAAGATAATGTCGATCTGCAAAACGTAGAGTTCTGATCCCAATGCACGCAAAAATGAGATCAAGTTACCTCGGGTAAAAGGTCTCGCATTGCCTCATACATGTCAAGCAGAACAAAAAGCTTTTCGGGGGACCTCTTACTTTTGGCCACAGCCTCGCCGAAACTCGCAAGCAGGTTAAAGTTGGGTTCCAGAAGCGCAACTATGCACTCTTCTCGGTGCGGTTCAAGACGATAGAAAACCTGGTCACAAGTTTTACGTTCTGCAGCAAATAGGAGTTTCACCTGACACCAAGTTGAGCCATAAGATCGAATCCATAGCAAAGAACGAACTCACCGAGACTTTCATAGACTGAATCCAGCTTCCAATTTTTGACTCTAAAACTTCCCACTGCATTTTCTGCACGTCCTCCTTGGTCATGTTCTCCACTCCAAGCTTCCTTAGGCTGTCCTCCAAGAAAGAAGATCTAACTTCCCTGCAATAATATAGAAACAGTAAGTCCAAGCTTTCTATGCATGGTAGCGATATGAACCTGTAAACTTCAATGCACTGCTCGTGATGGCTCGCATTGATCATTCTTTGGGCCATATCCGCCAGCTGAGGAACGGCCTTTGGAGCAATAACGACTGGCAAAGTTAATGGAAGAGTCTCCTCCACTTTCGCTCTATCGGCACCGGAGCCTGCATGCACAACCTTCTCAATCATCAAAGTCTCACCAGACGCTCCAAACGCATTTTGCAGCCGCATGGAACTTGGAAGACTTCTGAGCAACTCTGCTGGATCAACCGGCTTACTGCACTGCCTACTCGTCAGCTTACAAAGAATACCTGTGTACCTACCTATGTTGTGTTAGATGCTCTCTAAATTTGTCTTCCAGTTTCGTCATGGCTTTCAGAAGGAGATTCCTTGCATGCTTGAAAGCCGCGTCGCTTGTCTGGAAACTCCGATGGAAATTGAAGAAATCAACGTTGGTCTTGAGCTGGTCAACAGCACCCAGGTATGTGGATATGTCATCTAGTGGACCCTCGACGATTTTCGGCTCAACCTGCATGGAGAAAGACGTAAGTATAATACCTCCGACCTCGACGTGAATTCATACCTGACGAGAAACATCGAATTGAGTGAGTATTGTTTCTGCTGCATTGATGGTTTGATCGATGTTGTCGTGAACGTTCCTGATAGCATGCGTTCGAACCTGTAAAAATGGACAGTTTACTAAAGAAGCACACAAGGAAAACTAAACAGGCAGAAGAACTCCAAGAAGAAGTACCAAGAAATTCTCAGCACTCAGATCTTCCTCTTCCTCACCATCCTCGAGCTCATCATCCGTAAAAAGGCCAAGACTACTCTTCCGTCTTGCCTGCTTGATCAGTCAAGTTTTGAAAAATGGCTTCCCGTGACCAAAGATACCGGTTTTGTATCTTCGTCAAGGTCATCCAAATCATCGTCGGACAGAAAATCTATAGTGTCCCGACGCTTTCTACGGCTTGCTTGGAGACGCTCCTGTTGTAAAGAAAAAAAAAAAGATCTACCTTAAGATTTTCTCTTCCCCAATCTAGAATGCAAGAAGTGCATCATCCAGCAACACAATCGACCGATCCGTGCAGCAAAATCTTCACACCACAATCCAAACCTGAGTGGGGCGCATCGTCGTTTGTAGCGCCGAGAGCCGCTGATCGAACGATCCCAGGATGCGCAGCATTTGATCGGTGATACTCTGGCTCTTGATCAAGCTCTCGCGCACCAGCTGCGCCCTCGCAACGACCTGATTGAGATCGCCGCCGCCGCTCATGGCAAGAAATCACGCCCAAACCCTAGCGAAGAACACTGGAAAAATACCGCCCTTTTACCGTTCGTAATGGCAGGTATATTCTTGTCCTGCTCGAGGTATATGCTTTCAACGACACATGCTCGTCTCGCAACCGTGACACATGTCACTCTACGCTATGAGATCCAGAGGAGAGACGCTGGAGGTGGAAATTTTAGGGTTCTTCGAGCGATGGCGAGCGGCAAGAGGAAGATCGTAGCTGCGGTGGACGATTCCGAGGTGTCGGCGTATGCTTTCACCTGGGGGCTCCAAAATTTGGTCCGTCCCGACGATCATGTTGTGGCGATCACTGTTGCGCCTTTTGTTGGGGCCGATGTTGCGACCGCGGACATGGTTGGAGGTAATGCTGTGTGTATTTGGGGGAATGTGCTTAGAGAGTGTTGGATTGTGCTTGAAAGGGAATGCTAGATCCATTTTTTGCTTAGCTCTTCACTTGCATTGATCTCTTCTGGTTTTCTCGCTGCTTAAGTAATGTGTTGTGTGTGCTTTTCAGAGTACACTGTTTCAATGACTCTCTCTCCAGCTGAGTCCGAGGCTGCCCAGAAGCAAGTCACGGAGAGTTCTAAGGCGCTGATTTCTAAGTATCTTAAGCAATGCGCGAATGCCAATGTGGGTTTTTTTCGTGATTTTCGTTTCCAACCGTTTTTTTTTTTCTAGATTTCTTGCGAAGGTGAGGTGGTGAAGGGAGAACCGGGGAGCTGGATTGTTGATGAAGCAAATCGAGTTAGAGCCGACATGGTTCTTGTTGGCAGCCATGCCTACGGACTTATCAAAAGGTTTCTAAAGCGTGATCAACAAAAGGAGAGCGTAACCTGCATTTTTCTTTTGCAGGACATTGTTGGGAAGCATTAGCGACTTTGTTCTTCACAACGCGAGCTGTACCGTCGTGATTGTTCGACAGCCGCCAGAAGCTTTAAAAGAGCATGATCCTTTGTCATCGGCGGGACTGCCTAGAAAAATCGTGATTGCCGTCGACGATTCCAAAGAGGTAAGCCAAGAGCAAGTTTCGTGCTGTGCAGAAAATTAAAAACTTTTGCAGGCTGTGCAAGCGTTTTCGTGGGCCCTTGAAAACTTCTGCAGGCCATCAGACAAAGTTGTGCTATATCACGTTCACAATCCCGTCACTGTTCCTGTCACGGCTCTGGGAACTGGTAAGGCATTTCTCGTTTTAGTCTCTGTGTTCCTGGATGGAACATAGATTTAAGTCGAAAGCCAGAGCTGATCACTTCGTCAGGGGAATTCGGCGTAGAGGACGTTTATATAGCTCCTGGAAACGACGTCGAGGAGGAGGTGAAAGCGTCCAACGACAGCCAACTTCTCGTTGAGAGGTTCATGAAGGAAGTGCCAAAGGTGCCTCTCACTTTCAAGCTACAATGCGCTTTGACAAACTAAAAAAAAGTCGTTCTTTTCCTTTCTTGTAGGAGATTTCTTGCGAGGGAATGGTTGTCACTGGCCTGACGGAGGCTAAAGTCTGCGAGGGCCTTGTCACATTGAAAGCTGACGCTGTTGTAATAGGAACTCAAGACCGGAGTGTTCTTTCCAGGCAAGTTTTTCTTCCCCTCTTTCGTGCTTTAAGATTTGAGTTTCTAGCTTTGTGACTTGGAATTCTTCCTCTTTCTTATGCTTTTAAGATTCGAGTTTCTAGCTTTGTGCCATAAGTTTGCTTGAAACTCCGTGGTGATTTCTCTGATCGAATTCGTGAATTCGTAGCGCTTACTGTGGTTTTGGTGTGAGCTTGATTCATCACGAGTGACAATGATCGATGGTTTCTTTTTTATCTCTTCACAGGACGTTTCTCGGTAGCGTCAGTGACTACCTCGCGCATCACAGTCCGTGTCCACTGGTGGTAGTAAAGAGCACAAGCAAATCGGAATAGAAAAAACAAAAGCAATAGTATTTATTGTTCTCAATGCCCACAAGTGGCGCTTTTGTGACCGTTGGATTTACGGTGCCAGATGCTGTGTGTTAGAGCTTAGGGTTTGGTCCTTCCTTCGAGCATGGCGAGGAAGAAGCATGTCTTGTCAGGTGACAGGAGAAGATCCAGGGCTCAAGGGAATGCCCCGCTCCCGGCATTGCGTCGCGCAATCGCGCTGTAGGTCTTCCATCCTAGGGTATCGTCTATGGCGATGGCGGAGATGGCGCCAGCACAGCAGCAGCAGAAGATTGGCAAGCCGCCGTCGCCATTCGCAGCTCCAATGCAGCCGAATCAGGTATCGCTCCAGAATCACCAGCTCCAGCCCCAAATCCAGAGCCAGCAGCAGCAAATTTTGAAGCACAAGCTCAAGGAGAAGAAGATTTTCGGAGGCGGCGGCCAAGGGGCGACTGCCAGTCCTTCTCCTCCACCTCCGCCTTCTTCCGCGGTTCCTGCCGCTGCTGCTCCATCTCCTCCTCCTCCTACTCCTCCTCCGCCCGCCACTGCTGCTGCTACTGCTATTGCCGCCGCCGCCGCCGCCGCAGCTCCGCCCATGCCTGGAGGAGCCAAAGAGAAGCCCGATGCCGTGGAAGTGGAAATGGCTAGACAGGATCTAATGCGTGTGTGTAACCCAGATATCCATCGGCCATTCGTGTCCCTGGAAGACGCTTGTGAAAGGTATGCTTCCTCCATTTCTCTTTCTTGTTTAGAATTTGGTTGCCTGGTAGAAATCCTGCGAATGCTTGAGTGAATTCCAAATCTTTTGTCGATGTAGCCTTTCCTGTAGTTTGAAGTAGTCACCCAAGTTCTGATTTTGTGACGCTCAATGCTAGCTTCCTCCATTTCTTTCTCTTGTCTAGAATTTGGTTATCTGGTAGAATTCCTGCGAATGTTTGGGCGAATTCCACCTTTGATGTCGACGTTTCTTTGAGTCTTTTCTGTAATTTGAAGTAGTCACCCAAGTTTCTTTGTTTCCGATTTTGATGCTAGCTTGGTTTCTTTCCAAAGCCTCACTTTTTTCGTTCATCAGACTTCTTCCTTACCACGTCGTAGCCGAGTACGATATGGACGAAGTGGAGGACAGGGCCACCGACGGTCACGGCTCCGTCTCGAGAAGCCAGCTCTGGAACGAAACGCTGAGCTCCAAGAGCCGGGAATACTTCCTGGCGCTCCAGAAGCAAATCGCCATGTACAACATGATCGTGAGGAAGCGGTGGGAGGGAGAGATGCGAGGCGAGGAGCGGCTGCTTGTCGAGCAGCTCCTTCTCGAGGACGAGAAGCAGAGACTCTCGGAGCTGCGGAGCCAGATGGAGGCGGAGAAGGCAGCGGCGGAGGCCAAGATGAAAGAGGCGATCGCTCACGTAGAGAAGGTCCGAGCCGCCGAGGCACAGGCGCGAGAACAAGCAGCAGCCCAGCAGCAATCCAGCGGCGGCGGCACCGCCTCCAAAGACTCCTTCCAGGCGGCGGACATGAATCTCAACGTCGAGGCGAGCGATCCTCGCCAGGCCGACGACGCCATGCAATGGGGGTCGGACGAGGACGCCGAGGAGGAAGAAGGTGACGAAGATGGTGAGGGTGAAGGTGAAGGTGACGGCGAGGAGGGTGACGCTGATGACGGTGAAGGTGAGGGCGAGGAGGGGGACGTGGAAGAAGACGAGGGTGACGGTGACGGTGATGGTGATGGTGACGGTGACTCTGAGGACGAGGAGGATGGGAATGCCATGCAAGGTGGGAGCTGGAGCCGTGGAGCCCAATTCGATCTAAACACGAGGAGTGGGATTTCTAGATGATAGAGAGAAGATATCGCTGTATTTTTTAACCGCTAGGATCTAACCAAAAACCCATTTTGCTCTGTCTAAAAGTAGCAATCTCTACGCTAGGGGAAACGCTCATTTCGCCGCGTACGCGGGATTTTAAAAAGCTCGTGGATATTCTAGGGCTTTAAGGAATTTCCCCTTGTTTCTTCCAGCTATGGGGGACGAAGAGCAAGGGCGGGAGAGAGGGGGAATGTGGAGCCTTGATCAGATTGATCAGCCGCTTGGCGACGATGCGGCGCGAGTCCAGAGCATGCAAGCGCCGCCAAAGGTAAAGGGATAATTGGCCGATTTTCTCCCTGTCCCATGCCTGATTCGAGCTAGAATTTCTCCAGAGGGTTTCCACCGCCGCGACGCTGCGCCTGGCGTTCCTCAGCCTTGGTGTGGTCTATGGCGACATCGGGACATCGCCGCTCTACGTCTTCTCCAATATCTTCCCGGATGGGATCCAGCACCGCGAGGACGTGCTGGGAGCGCTGTCGCTGATCGTCTACACCATCACTCTGATTGCTCTGGTCAAGTACGTTTTTATCGCGCTACGATCGGGAGACAATGGAGAAGGTATTTCTCATCGCTAGACGGTGATTTAAACTTTGTGGATTCCTTTTCTTTCCAGGCGGGACTTTTGCCCTGTACTCTTTGATATGCAGGCATGTCAAAGTTAACACTATCTCCAACCAGCATCCCACTGATCGGGAGCTTACCACGTATAGTTTCCGGGCAGTGCCCGAGAAGTCTCATGCTCACAAAGTAAAGGTGGCTTTGGAGAAAAGCCAAACTTTGCAAAAGATCCTGCTTGTTCTAGTCCTACTCGGCACAAGCATGGTTATCGGTGATGGAATGCTATCTCCAGCTATATCAGGTTCGTCCCTTGATTTTTTTCTAGAGGGAAACGTTGCCGATGCTCGTCATTTTGCAGTGCTTTCGTCTGTGAGAGGACTCCGAGTTGCTCATTTGTCCGTCTCTGATGGTCAGTCTTGCCGTGATGTTTTCCTTGAGTGAAGATTAATCTGAGCTTTGTTACAGATGCTATCTTGGTTCTGGCATTGGTGATTTTAGTTGGACTCTTTTGCATGCAACGCATTGGAACTGCCAGAGTTGGATTCATGTTTGCTCCAATTATCTTCGTCTGGTTTCTTGCAATTGGTGCGCTTGGCGTTTACAACATCGTCGTTCATGATCCATCTATATTCAAGGCCCTCAACCCGCACTACATCATTCGCTATTTCGGAAGGCAGAAGACCAGAGGCTGGGAGTCACTTGGAGGAGTTTTTCTGGCTATAACAGGTCTGCTGACACATCTTTCTCCTTAAAATCTTGACATCTTAACATTTATGACAGGTGCCGAAGCTTTGTTTGCTGACCTTGGCCACTTCTCAGCTTCCTCGATCCAAGTGAGTGTCCTGGATCGTTATATTTTTTTTGGTTTTAATTCTTGATTTATGCAGCTGGCTTTTACTGGAATGGTGTTCCCTTGTCTATTAGCAGCATACATGGGACAAGCTGCATATCTCATGAAGTTACCCGACGACGTGAACGACGCTTTCTACAAGTCTATACCGAAAACACCAGCAGTTTACTGGCCTGTGTTTGTAATCGCAACGGCGTCTGCAGTCATTGCGAGCCAAGCAACGATCTCTGCAACTTTTTCCATCATAAAGCAGGCCGTGGCTTTGGGTTGCTTCCCGCGGGTCAAGATTGTTCACACTTCGTACAAGTACCTTGGCCAGGTCTATATTCCCGAAGTCAACTGGTTGCTTATGGTTGCGTGCCTGGTGATAACCGCTGGGTTTAGAGAAACAATGCAGATAGCAAATGCTTATGGTAAGCTCACTTCAAATGCTTTGGATTATATGCTGATATATTTTTACAGGGATTGCTGTTGTGGGAGTGATGCTTGTCACCACTCTACTAATGGCTCTCGTCATGCTCATCATCTGGCAAAGAAACCTGTTGCTGGTTCTGGCATTTCTCGTGGTGTTTGGCTCCCTCGAGTCCACTTACATCTCAGCTGTTCTCGTCAAGGTGGAGAAGGGAGGCTGGGTACCTCTGGCAATTGGAGCCTTTCTGCTCATTGTCATGTACACATGGCACTATGGAACCACTGAACGGCACAGCTTCGAACTCCAGAACAAAGTTTCTCTCGGTTGGATCCTTCGGCTTGGCCCGGGGCTCGGCATGGTCCGACTTCCAGGAATCGGTCTCTTTTACACGGAGCTCGCTCACGGGGTACCTTCCATTTTCTCTCATTTTCTCACGCACTTTCCAGCGATCCACTCAATTCTCATGTTCGTCTGCGTCAAGTATCTCCCAGTGAGCACGGTCCCGAAAGCCGAGCGGTTCCACATTCGGAGAATAGGCCCCAGGGAGTTTCGGATGTACCGCTGCGCAGTGCGATATGGCTACAAGGACCTCCACAAAAAGGACGACGAGTTCGACGAGCTCCTCTTCCAGGCGCTCCGCTCTTTTGTCCGCTACGAGTCCATGGTGGGAAGTGTGGAAAACTCCGACGACAGCATCGAGAGCTCCCGGGTGATATCAGCGGAGCCGACGAGATCAAACATCGACTCGGTTATGATCAGCACAGCAGGCTCGCTGGACGAGATCCATCGCCGATCATCGGTTTGCTCCTCCAGGGGTGACGAGGAAGACGAGGGCGATTTTCTAGGCAGGGCCAGGCAAGATGGGATCGTGCATATCATGGGAAACACCGTGATGAGGGCCCGCGAAGCGTCGAGCTTTTGGAAGAGAGTTGCGATAAACTTTGGTTACAGCTTCCTCCGGAGGATTTGTAGAGGCAGCAGCGTCGTTTATCACATCCCTCACGAGAGCTTGCTTCACGTTGGCGTGGTATATGATGTTTAGCTCAATGTTAGCAACAATCCTGGAGGCAACTGTAAATTTTATCCAAACAGCTCGGATGGATCTCAAAAGAGCCTCCTCGTTCACGAATGTTCTTTAGTATAAACCACGAAGATTTGCTTGCACGTTTTAATTCTAGATTTTAGATTCATTCAAGGTCGTGAGCCCCAAGATTTATTTCACAACTGCCGGGATTTCATCCTCGTCCATGCCCCGAGAACATAGCCATTAAAGGTCAGGAACATGAACCAGTGCGTCATCTTGCGGGTTTCATTGGCTGGGTCCTTGTCATCGGCCGGAAACAAGCTCTCGTGTTATTAGGGCTTTAGGGTTCTTGAAATGTGTGCCAGCTGACTTAACAATACATTTGCTATTAATGTTTTTTCCACAAAATCCAAAAAGAAGTGGAGGTTATTTACGCCCTTTGCTTTTACTCCTCGGCGAATCCAAGCTCCGAGAGCTTGAGGTGGGCTTCGGTGTAATCCTTGAAGAACGCCTCCTCGTCCTGTTCCAAGCGAAATTTATCTCTTGATCACGCAGAGTTCTAAGCGGAGATTTCTCTTTACCTTGGCGTAGAGCTCCACGAGCGGGCGGAATGAGGGATCCTCCACGAGAACTTTGTCGGTTGGGAGAGTGAGGATGCCTTCCTGCTCACCGCTCAGCAGTATCCTGGAGCAAACACGATTACATCGGAAAGAAAGAAAAGTGAAATCGATCGGCTTACGTGAAGTAGGAGTTGTCAAACTGGAGAGGGTTGTGCGTCCATGGGCCCTCAAACCCGGATCGTTCCTTGTGTGCTCTTCCCTGGACAAACACACCGAAGTTTCGTAAGATTTTTTTCTTCTCTGAGACTGATACAGCTTACCAGAGTGTGACCGCCAGAGAGAGCCACGATGTCCTTGTCCGTGAGACCCATATGCTTCACAAACACGTCTCTGAGATGATCCGCGCCCTTGGTAGCATCTGGAAGCCGTCCCTCCATTGGGCATGTTGGCTTGTCCTGTATCCATCCAAGGCATTGCTTGGTTACATCATTCCACGAGAAACCAATTGAAAATCGAATATCAAAACTCACCACTCTCCCGGGATGGAATGGAATCTCGGGGCCACCAGTGACTTCCACAGCAACGACTCCCGCAAGCTGTAAAAAAATAATCTATAAGAACCAAGTCTTATCGAAATGGCACTAATTCCAGACACTATCTTTCGAGATAGGTAGCGTCACAGCACTAAAGGGAAAAACCAAACGAAGGAAAGCAAACAAAGGACCTGATAGAAGTCGCCATAGCTCAAGATGGGGAACTGGTCCTTGATTGGCTGTAGCAGCTTCACGGCGATGTCGAGACCATTGTTCGCGGTATGGCCAAGCTCCTCAGCGAGCTTCATGGTGCCAAAAGGACCACCGGTCTTGGACTGGCAATCGTAAGTTCCCGCCGAGTGCCATCTATTCCACAAAGCGAGCCGTGAGCTTTACAAGAAGAGGCGAAACCAAAGAAAAAGAGGACAAGAGACTTACGCAAGGCGGAGCATCAATGGCGCACAGTTCTTCTCTGCGAGAAAAGATCGGAAACAAAGGGTCAGAAAGACTAGAAATTTTCAAGCTTCGATCCGCCGATCTTGCCTGCGATGAAGCCGCGGAGCTTCCTCTTGGCCTTCTCCACGGCGGCCTTGTACTCCTCGCTCACGGCCGGGTAAGATTTTCCCATCCTACTCCAAGGCGCGGCGTCAGAGGGATGGAATCGCGAAGCGCAAGCGCTGATTTACCTGATTCACAATCCCGATCGAAGAATGCGCCTTCTCTCCTCGCCCTTCCCTCGAAGACGCAGCAGCAACACAAAAGGAGTGTGAGGGCCACGAGCCTCTTTTAAAGCATCCCAGCCGTCCCGACAGATTAGATCCAACGGTGGAGAGCTATATTTACGACACTGCCCCTCAGCCGTCCGATTTGACCAATCGGACGGCTGCCTCTAGAAACATCTACCTTGACTTTACCCTAATGCCGAACAAATTAGAATATTCCCCAGCGAAATAGAAATTATCTTTAATAGTAGTCTACCATTTTGTCACTACGCTTTGGTTTTCTTTTGGGGCCCCTGTATCTTCCATTTTCATAAGCGGCGCGCGCGATCAGGCCTTGGATCGTCGTAAAATCGTTGGAGTTGTAAGGATCGATCGAAGCTCTAGCAAAACCACAGACGATTCAAGAACCCACGAAGTAAAACGCGTGAAGAATTTAATGTTTTACCTGTGAAGCAAGTCTCGCAGGACTTTCCCTTGTTCTTCGGTTACGTAGTGGATGCAATTTCTCGGGCACTGGCCGACGGCTAGCTGCACAGAGTAGTCGCCACTTCTTCCTGGATTTTCACACAGATGGGATTCGACCAGGCTAAGTAGCTCGTTTTAAGTTATGCCGAAGCAAAGAAAGGATTACCTTGAACAACAGCTTGAGCTCGTCCAGTTTCTGGATTGTATCTAAACACTGATGGAGCTCGCTCCACGCAAGAGTAAGGACAGCCTGATTTTTCGAAGGAAAACAACGAAGTTAAGATCAATCACACGAAAGATAAAAGCTTGCGAACCTTTTCCAATGCAGAGAAGCTCATTCACAAAGATATCATTGGCTTCTCCTTCCGGCTCTTGGAAAGGATCGAGAGATCTCCTGCATTGATCAATCGAAATGTAGCAAAGAACGAGGAGAGAAAAGAACCACGAACCTCTTTTGTCCAATGCTTGGTTTAGTCTCCAGCGAGAGCTCCTGCAAAGAATTTCTAACCGAGGTTCTATCAAAAAAACTCTTTCTAACGAGTGAACAAAAGATGTGCTCACCTCGTAAGCCCGAATCAGGCACTGTGTGATGGCCTCCGGATCCTCGGCGCCTCGATACACATCTGGGTGGTACTCCTTCACCTGGAAATCCGCGAAATCCATCACACAAAACCCTAGAGCCTCTCTCTCACAAACCTTGGATCGAAATGCCGCCTTGACATCGTCCAAGCCAAATCCTCGCGCTGCCGAGAGCCCCAAGATCTCGTGTGGCGCCGCGCTCCTCATCCACGATAGAAGACCGGATTTTCCATCCCTAGAAGCCGCGCAGCGCACCAGAGAGCCTCGTCTAGCCCACGCATTGCCGCCATAGCAAAGAGAAATCTCCATAGTGACAAGAATATTCCTCTTCATATTAATAAGCTGACGTGTACAGTCCACGTGGCAGGATTAACGTTACGAGATCGGGCGGCTATAGTTGCTTGTTCTAGATTCTTCACGCGTGGGTTTAGGGTTTAGGCGGTTTTCTTCCTCTCGGCGCAATGAGGCAAGCGGTGGGAGCACTATTGCGGCAGGGCTGGAGGCGCACGAGATCGTCCTCGTCGCTGCTGCAATCGTTCCGGGCAGCCGATTCTCCTCGCCAGGTATCGCATTTGCTCGATTGAATAGGGTTTTTCCAAAATCTTAAAGAACAACTGTGGTAACTGCAGCAATGGCTTGCTTGCATTCCTCCTCCGTCGTCACGGATCTCACCGGCACAATCATTTCACACAGCCCATTTTTCTTCTGCAGCCGTGAATTCTTCCTCCTCGAAAGAGGGGCGGCCGGGATCGGCCGAGGAGCCCCCAGTGGAGGATAAAACCGAGCCAGTCTCAAAGTCTGGGAAGGATGAGAAGAAGGCGACAGGAAAAGCCGCCACCGCCAGCGGTGGCGAAGGTGGTGCTAAAGGCGGCGATGGTGAGAGGAAACAGCCGGGAGCTGCCGATGACAAGAAAGTGCCCGAGACAGCCGAGCAGAAGCTGCTGAAAGAGATCAGGAAGTTCGAGCAGCAGCTTCGAGAAAAGGACTCGATTATCGAGGAGAAGGATGAACTTGTGAAGGAGCTCAAGGACAGTGTTCTTCGTGGCCTTGCGGAGCTGGAGAACTACAGAGAAAGGGCAAAGCGAGAGCAAGAGAGCTCTCGCAAGTTCGCCGTCCAGGTATGGTTTCTCTTCCTTTTCTTCTGTTCTCTCGTTCCATTTGTTTTGGTTGAGTCGAGGCTTACAAATTTTTCGATCTGTTCAGAGCTTTTCGAAGGATTTGCTTGACGTTTCGGACAATCTCTCGAGAGCTTTGTCGTCCGTTGGACAGCCCAAGGACGCGGAGGAAGCCAAGAAGCTCCTCGACACTCTTTTAGCAGGAGTGAAGATGACCGAGAAGCAACTAATGCAGGTATGGAAAAGAAGTTTTGATCGATTGTTTCCGCGGTTATCATTCGCTCTCTCTCTCTCTCTCCCTCAGGTTCTCAAAAAGTATGGAGTCGAGCGATTCGACCCGACTGGCGAGCCTTTCGATCCAAATGTGCACCTCGCGGTCTGCGAGATTGCTGATCCCAGCAAGCCCGCCGGCACCGTCGCCAACGTTTTCAAGGTGTCCACGAGAGTTTTCTTCCCCATGGTTGTTTTTCTAAGGAGATGGTTTGTTCTTCCAGGTTGGATACTTACTCCACGAAAGAGTTCTCAGGCCCGCTGAAGTTGCTGTAGTGAAAGCCGTGGAAGCTGCCGCTTAGAGAGAAATTTTTTGCTTGGCAATAAGCTTTAGAGAAAGTGTTTAATTGAGAACAAACTTTTGTTTCTGCCCTAAAGGAATCTAACTGGAGGATATTCTGTCTAAACCCTAGGGAGGTTTAGGGCGTATCAAAATGGCGAAGACGAAGAAGGAGGCTGCGCGGACGCCGTCGCGCGGTGGGAAGCCCAAACATTCGCTCGATGCAAATAGGCGCGATGGCGGATCCGGCGCCGCGGGAATGCGCAGCTCCGCGACCGTCCGGCGGCTCAATATGTATCAGTCTCGTCCCAGGCGCGACAGCAAGGGGAAGGTTTTGCATCACGAGCTCCAGTCCAAGGATCTGCCGTCGACGAGGATTCAGCCCGATAGGCGATGGTTTGGTGAGTGATGAATTTTCCAAGATGTATTTGCTTGATTGGGAAAAATGTGGTATGAAGGGAATACGAGGGTCGTCGGGCAGAAGGAGCTGGAAACGTTCCGGGAAGAAATGCGTACCAGAGTGTCGAACGCCTACACTGTTATTTTAAAGCAGAAGAAATTGCCGATGGCACTCTTGACTGATCGACCAAAGGTTTGCCTAAAGTTTTTTTTTTTTCCATTCCTTTGAGCATGACAATTGTTTTTCTTTGTAGCAAGCGAGGGTTCATCTTTTAGATACCGAAAAGTTTGAAGACACATTCGGTCCCAAGAAGAAAAGGAAGCGTCCCAAACTCGGTGTTGATGATTATACTAGCCTGGTGCAAAAATGTGCCAACACACAAGGTGAGTGAAAAGCGAAATACTGGCATGCTTCCTTCTGATCTTACATCTTTCAGAGGAGCACGAAAAGAGTCTTGAGGATGTTACCAAAAAGAAGAGTACAGCGATGACCGAAACGGATGGCTTGCGTGACCAAGTGAGGCATACAATGTTTGAGAAAGGCCAGAGCAAGCGTATCTGGGGGGAACTATACAAAGTTATTGACTCTTCTGACGTGGTTGTCCAGGTTTGCGACTGTTTGAATCTTATAAAATCCTGTGTCTATGATGTCTTTTAGGTGCTGGATGCCAGGGATCCCGCTGGCACTCGGTGCTATCATCTCGAGAAACACCTCCGAGAAAACTGCAAGCACAAGCATCTGATTTTTCTTCTCAACAAGGTTTGCCATCAGCTAAGGCTCCAAATCATTTCCTTTCTTTTTCTTCCAGTGCGATTTGGTGCCAGCATGGGCTACAAGAGGATGGCTTCACGTGCTCTCTCGTGAATATCCGACGCTCGCATTCCACGCGAGCGTAACCAATCCGTTTGGCAAGGTAGATTTATGCGTATGATAATTGAACTTCTTCACATGTTTTCGCTTCAGGGATCTCTTCTCTCTTTGCTGAGACAACTTGCTCGGTTGAAAAGTGACAAACAGGCGATATCAGTTGGTTTTATTGGGTATCCAAACGTTGGAAAGTCTTCCGTCATAAACACTTTGCGGACGAAGAATGTGAGCTTCAAAGAGTTTCCCGTTTTTTAGCTTAACTTGTTCTGTATTTCTACTTTCGGCAGGTCTGCAAAGTTGCGCCACTGCCTGGGGAAACAAAAGTCTGGCAGTATATAACACTGACGAAACGAATTTTCCTTATAGATTGCCCCGGTGTTGTGTATCAAAATCATGACAGCGAAACTGACATTGTCTTAAAAGGGGTGGTAAGGAGAAAATGCGTTTTTGCGCTCTCACCTAACAATCGTCATGCTCTGCAAGGTCCGCGTGGGAAATCTGGATGACGCTACTGAGCACATAGGAGAGGTGTTACAGCGAGTGAAGAAGGATTATCTAAAGAGAGCTTACAAGATACAAGACTGGAATGACGATGAGGACTTCCTCACTCAGCTGTGCCAACAAACGGGCAAACTTCTGAAGGTAATCATGGTTGGAATGCATTTTGTTCTGATATTCGAGCTTGTACAGGGGGGTGAGCCAGATCTGAAAACAGCAGCGAAAATGGTGCTTTACGATTGGCAGCGGGGCAGAATTCCGTTTTTTGTTCCTCCACCACACTTGGACGACGCAAACGCGCCCTCGGCCGAAGCTTCAACGCTGGCTCTGGTGAGCAAGCAGTCGCTGAGGAACATGCCAGTCCAGAGGAACTTGTATGATGCGGAGGATGAAAAACCAGCCGCCGGCATGGGGGATGAGGGAGATGAAGCTGAAGCAGCAGGACAAAGCGATGGTGGGAACACGGACGAAGAGGATGACGATAGAGAATCAAAGAAAGCGGGGAGCAAGAAGAGGAAGCGGGGGAAGGAGAATAAGGAAACGCACAGGAAAGTGGAAGTACAAGAGGCCAGGGCAGGAAGTGAGAAACCAAGGAGCAAGAAAAGTAACGGGAAGAGGATTCATGAGAAACCAGAGAGCAAGAGAAGGAAAGGAGGCGATGCGACGCAAAAGCAGGAGACTGGCAGCAAAGTCGTGGAAGAGGAGTTTACGTGGGAAGATGCTCTTAGAATGGCGCAACAAGGAGTGGAGCAATGGGATCACGCCCGAGTCGTTTAGAACAAACACTTTTCTTTGCTCACTTTAGTTTTAATTAACAATTATAGTGTGACCTAATGCTATAATTGAATGCTAAATAGATTAAAGTAAAAGAAGTTTTTTTGTGATGAAATAAAATCTTTTTTAATCTATAATATTTTGAAATGATTTTATTATAAGTGTACAACAATTATGCAATTTTCAACTTTGAATGTTTGTTATATCAAATGGTATAATTTTAATTATTAATGACTTTAAGGAGAATATAGAATTTCATATAAATTTTCAAGAATTTATTAACTATTTATTTGAATTTCATAATCCTTAAAAATGTATATAGTAACAAAATTAAAACTAAATATATGAAAACTGGATTAAATATAACTTTAAGAAAATGAGGAAAAATTTAATGAACAATAGTTTTTAAAAAAAGATACAAAAGTAAATATAAGTTAAATTTATATTAAATAAATAAATAAAAATATAATTTTATAATGGAAAAAACTTTTTACTAAGATATTTATAATTTGTGCTCACAACACTTTACTAATAAAAACAATAAATCACCACAATTTACTTCAATCCTTGTGCTTAAAATCTCATACATTCTTTGCCACTCGATATATATTTTCAATTTTTTAGACTTTAGCATCATAAACAGCTTTAAAGGGGATGTACCGTTCTAGTAGATAACTCCAGTAGATGTTTAACAAAAGGTAAAAGTTTCTCTTTTGATCTTATATATATATATATATATATATATATATATATATATATATATATATATATATATATATATATATATATATATATATATAAAATTTAAAATATATATATTTTATTAAAATTGAAGTATTAGTATTGCTTAAAAAATAAATAAACCATAATTCAAATTCAGAACATAATTGTAAATCCTCACAAACTCAATAGTCTCCAACGTTTTTGTAAAATAAAGATCAAAATTTATAAATATTTTTTTAATGAATTTATAATTTCTAGATGCATATTTAAATTAAAAAAAGAAAAAAAACAGATAAAAATTTAATTATAAGAAAATAGAATTGTTTTTGGATACAATAAAACCTAATTTTGATATAAAATAATAATTTAGAAAATTTCTAAATTTAGTAAAATAATTAAATAAAATAAGGAAATTAAATCTATTTATAAAATTAATTGTTATCATTGTTTGGTGGTGTGTACCCAAACATACTATGGATTTTAAAATATAAGCTTAACAATAGTTTAAAGTTAAGAGTTGACCACTAACTTAAAATTTTATTAGAAATACTAAACAAAATCCAAGAGCTCATTTAACTTGTGCGTTCCAAAAAATTAGAAAAACATAACTCATTACATATTGTTATGTGAATAGCACAAATAATTTGACTTTCACCAAGAAAAGTTAAATATAGCTTATTTTTATGACCATAAAACTGTAACAATGGGATGCCTATTTGTGATTAAAAGATTCTCTATTTTTAAAATGAAATTCAACTAAAGAAAATTCAAAAATGCAAATTAAATTTACTTCAAGCTAGCATTAAGAAATAAAAATGAAGGGAATTGTGAAAATTTGAAATTTTCCAAGAGATCATTGTGGGAGTAAAAGGTATAAAGAATAAATTGAAAAGCCTAATTGAGCTGGGTCAATTAATAATGTACCAATAATTTTCTGTCTCTAAGATATGGGAAGAGAGTGTGATATAAAGCACTTAAGCACACCATTAATGATAACATTCTTAGAGAGTGGAATGTAACATTAACACTCTTCTTGAACCTTGTAACAAATAATGGATAAATAAAAAACTTGAAACTAGATTTTTTATTGTTAATCTCATCTTGCAAAGAAGACATTAAAGACAGATCATAGGGATCTCGTAGGATTTTGTTCATATTTTAGTTGATAGGATGGATTATGCAAGATTCTAGATTTAGATTTAGTTAGTGTGTCCAACAAAAGCTATAAACTCCACATGGACTTCAATTTCTAAATCTTAGCACTTATATAAAAAATGTAAATTATCATATACAAATGAAAACTGAAACAACTCCTTTACCACTTCTTTATTCTTCTTCCACCCACCAAAATTGCATTTATTGGTAATATTTGTTGTATTACATTTATCACATGTGGTTTGTTACTATTGATGGCTTCATTTAATGTAAAGGATGCACTATTTGTTTTGCTCTTCAATGCCTGGCAATTAACTAAGACTCTTCACAACTAACAAGTTTTAAAGGCATGTAATGTGGTAAGAGTGGCCACAGAAAAATATTATTATTCGTAGTGGTTTGAACATATATAACACAAGCTTTTGATACAAGTATAACCTTTGTGGAGGAACTATAATGAATTGTGGAGTTCCTAAATTTACAAGTGTTAGTGCTAGAATTTTTGTCTTTTGTAAATACACTCACCTTGAGAATGTTATTGCAACCCTCTCTAAGTGATGTTTCCATCTTGTAATCCATGATCACCTTTAAGACTTTATCTTTTAAATTGCATAAAAGCCCAATGTCAAACAAAGATTTGCCCTCATGAGATGTCATTCCATGGTAGAAATATGTCTTTGGGAATTCTGGTTATGACTTATATTATATTAATTTTTCCTATAGTATCGCCAAAATGCACTATATGAGCCATTAATATAACTTAGTTGATCTGACCATATAATAAGTTCGTTCTATAAATCATAAATTCTACTACCTATAGTTATTCTGAGTTATGAATTTTTTTACTTACCACCCATTCAACCCAGCAAATAAACTTTTTCCTTGACAAAATTTAGCTTTGTGAAAATGGTATAAGCTTGTATAAAATATATTATATCTTAAAAATAAAAATAAATTATTTTTACTTAATTACTCAAAAAAGAAAAAGAAAAAGCAACTATAGTTTAAATTTAGCATATAATTGCAACTGCACACAGATAATTCAACAATTTATAACTTTCCCATAAAATAAAGTTTAAAACTTAGTACTTTCTTCCAGCATTTACATCATGTTCATATAAAGCATGCAAATAATCATGTAAAAAATGCCAACTCTTGTTCTGCAGTAAGTGGTCTAAAGAGGAAACCACCTCACTTGCACTAATTTTATCTCTTTGTTGAGCAAGTAAGTCAATGGCTCTTTTTATATCCAGCTTAATTAAAAGAGCAATCAAGAGTTACACATGTAACTTAAATGTAGTTTATATTGCTTTTAAGAGCATCATAAAGATGGTGCTCTTTGATAATATCGAAGGCTGCTGTCTTTTGCAGCTGCAAAAACATGATTTATAATTAGCAACACAAGTGGATATGAATAATTATACCTCTAGATATAGCCTTAGCACGTTTTCATGCTGTTCCTGAGAAAGGTAAAAACCTACATCCTACTAGATTAGCTTACGCTTTTCAAATAACAGCAGTAGATATTATGTCAATATAATTGTGGGTAGGGCCAGTTTGGAACCAGCTTTAAGAATGGTTCATGATGCACAGGATTTGAAAGCAACTGAATGAGGACAACCTTAATAATCCATGTTAGAGCTCATGAATTGCACATCCGGAAGCTCACCTCATATATTGACAATTGGTATAAATGGGGCCAGAACAAGAGCATTATGCTTAGAACATGGTAGTCCACATCCCTACCAATTAAGATTTTAGCACTACTTGTACAAATAATTCTAGCCAAACCTTTGTCAAGCAACAACCATGTCCTTTGGTGAGACTATTAAAGGCTCATCTCTATCAGCCCAATGACCACTTCCTACACACAAGATGCAAATGAAAAATTGCTTTTTAACATCTTATTATACCAGAGAATGGAGTGTGAGCAAGCTTATAATCCTTAGCCTTCTAGTGCTCATAACCATGTACAGAAAGCACACCTATTGACATTGCCAATTCTCCCTTATTCTAATTTAAGATGCATGTTTTAGCACAGCCTCAAACTTCCATCCACTGCAAGTGAATAGTCCTAAAAAGCTGGCCTCAAAAGAAACCTTTGAGTACCTAGTTAGCAGGCCTCAAAGGAAACCTTTGAGTACCTAGTTAGCAGGGTGAGGTCTCATTCGTTAATGGAATTAACTAAACAAATCACTTCACCAACTGAAAAAATATAATTGATTCATGTACCTGTTTTGGAAAGGAGTTTGTTGTGAACCACACAAAATTCTTCAGATGGAGCTACATTACAAATATAATAATCAAGTTGTACTTCAACATACTTTGTCTCCGGGAAAAGGTTTCCCAAAAAAAGCATGGAGGCCTCCAGGAAAGTCAGCTCCTCTCACTTTGATAACAACAATCTTGATGCAACTTCCCCAGCCAACTAACAAGTGCATATCATCCTGAAAAACAAAACTATATACTATACAAGAGAAGTATCATATAAGTAGGGACCTTGGTTTTGCAATAAAAGTAAGATGCTGCTGTCAGGTTGTATCAAACGGTTTTACACCCTCATTATATGCAATAAGGCTCGTTCTCCATTTAACTGCATGAATGGAATCCTCACCCGGCAAAAGAAGATACCATAATAAAACTTTGAAAAATAAAAACAAAATGGAGAAAATGTGCTACCTGATCTTTAGATGAACCAAACCAGCCTTTATTATTAAGTATGAGATTTCCTGCCAGTCCCCCACAAGCAAAACGATTTGTTTTGCAGTAGTTTGGATCCAAAGTGACGGCAAATTTCTTCACCTGGATGGAAAAAAGTTATATCCAAAAGACCTGATAACAGACCTGGTTTCCCTGCCCCCGTGTGTCCCCAGCGCAATCATCCGCGTGACGGTGATGCATGGAGAGAAGGCTTACCTCCTACGCCCTGGTACTTGAGACGCGGCTCTTCCTCCTCATCATCCGAGGAGGAATCGTCGTGGCATTCGTTGTCGGCATCGTGGCGCTCCTCTTCATCCATCAATCAAAGAACCCTCCAGAGCGTCTTCACGGGAACACATTCCTGTCGGCGCTGGCGATACCTTCGATCTGGAGCGCGATCTTGAACAGTCACGCGAGAGATTAGCCGATGAGGAACGCGGTCCCCTGGAAAGCCCTGATCAAAGTCCTTGCCCATCTATGCCCAGCTTGGGCATCTGGATGAATGCTGGAGTTTCTT